TTATGCCAATCCATTTAAACTGCGCTCTTGTGTAACTGCATGCAGATTCGCTGCCTTCTGCATCCCTCTTCTGCCTTTTCTCTCTCTTTATTGAGAACACACAAACACACACACACACACTTCATGCTGCGAGAAATGCTGGCTATGAAAAGAACAGTTTGATGAGGAAAATTTTAACTGATATGGAAGCATCAGTCATACTCCAGCTGGGAGCCTGTGAGCTGTAACACAAGCCAAATGAAACCAAATGCACTGCTGTTTATTTAGCCAACTGTACGCTCAGTAATGTGAAGTTTTTGGACAAAGTCTTGAAATACTTGATTATGCCTATGAGGGCGACTGCATGGGCTTAATGGACCGATGACTTGCACCACTGTATTTGTATTGTACTCAGTAGTGTCTTTTGCCGTTTTGACATTGTCTTCATATTATTTCGTTTATACAGCTGTGTGTACGTGTTTTTGGAGCCTACGTTCTAATATGCTTTTCTCTGGCTCTTTCAGACAATCCCAGCCAAGTCTCCAGAGTTCTAGTTGCAATAGAGACCTTAGATCTGAATGACAATGCACCTGAGCTGGACAGGCAGTACAACACAGCCATGTGTGACTCCTCCTCCATCGGACAGGTCAGTATGTGTTTAAACTACTTGAGGTCTTTATTTCCATTCCATTCCAGTGTATATAAAATGTTCATTTTAAAGAAAACACTTGACTAAAACACATGTTAAGGAAACAAGCCCGGGTTATTCCTGGAACTACATTCTGGCACTACATATTTCTCAGTTTAGGTACTTGGACTGCCAGCAGTGCTAAAGACTGTAATTTTTCAAGAAGATGTGAAAAGACTTTAAGTAATGACTACACAGCAGCAGCAGCTGTGTTGTCTTTGTGTCTACATGTGTGGCGCTCGTGATTTTTCGAGGTGTCAGAGCCCAACACACAATCACTGCAGATGCATGGGTAAAAGCTTACAAATAGAGTGGCAGGGGTATAACGCAATCAGAATGTAAAAGCCAGAGTAGACATCTGGACTGACTGAAATAGAAGCTGTTCTGTCAGACATGCAAAATGCATGAGTGAAAACGCTTTTTAGACACACTGCTAATACTATAGTCTCACATGTTTCAGTCAAATCCGACATATCATTGGTTTAAATACAGTTTTTGTTACAAAAGTCACATAACTGATCACATGGTTACAGTCACCAACCAGTGGCCATTGGTTCGTGGCCAAACTGCTAGCGTTATTAGCCTCAGTAAATTTTAAATGAACAGAAAGAAGCTAACATTTTCAGCATATTCATTGTTTTCACCTTTTTATTTTATATTAAGATGAGATAAGACAAGATAAGATAAGATAAGACTGACTTTTTTATGTATACATATGAGCAGAAGCTTCAAAACCAGTTTTATCTGAAGCCTGAGAAGCTGTGGCTGGATGAACTTTAATCATCCAAAAATCAAACAATATTGATAATCAATGTAATAATTAATAATAATTGTAAAATAATAAATAATGCTTTCTTTACATACATATTTTAGAAGTCACAGTTTTTAGATTTGCATTTAAAGCCCCAAATTTCATACCATAAACACAAAACCTGGTAAACATCCAGACAAGTTAGCTTCCCATTAAATAACTATCTTGACGATGTGTCACTTAGCTCGATTGCTACACTATTTCAGTAAATGTTAACGTTACCTTGCGCTCTTCTTTACATTGGCCGAAGCCTTCCTTGAGCCATACAGCCCACCACACGCCACATTTTGCACTAATTCTACACATATTCATAATAAATTAGTGTTACTATGTCATATGCAAAACATATGCAAACTTTGTATTTAATGTTCATGTAGAGTCATATAATTACAGCACAAACAGTCGACGAGTATTCAGCTTGGAGCGTATAGAGTGTGGCAGAACAAAGCTGTGTCCCTTCAGATATGGCCACATGCAGCTACAGCATACTCATTCACCATGGAGCCAGGTGAATCCTCCATGGCCTGTTATCAGAACGCAGCAGTTATTTGCATTGTAATTAAACTCGAGCCTCCTCTCAGGCTGCCTCCCTCCTTCCTGCTTTATTTGTGTTCTTGTCGGTTTCTCTGCATCATGTTTTTCTCACTCGATCCTATCTCAATTATAGAAATCATCCCTTTGCTCTTCAGCCTCCCCTTGGAAACCCTGCTTAGCTCTCCTTTCTTTGCCTCCATATTCCGTTTCCCATGCTGGCTCCGTCACTATCGTTTTGGTGTCGTGGCCCATCTGTTGTGTGTTGTTTTTTTGTTTATACTGGTGTTTTCATTGCTCTGCTCATGCCTTTGTTGTGTCACCACGAAATCTGTGATTCTATGGCAACGACGTTGATTTGCTTTTGCCTGTGATGTTCATGTTTGTGCATGCTGCAATTTGAGTGAGCGGCGCGCAGTTCATAAAAGAAAGGCTATGATGTCTTCCCAGTGTGTTTGGGATAGTATATGCACATCTCTGTATGACACGCCATTAGGCAAAGCCTGTTTGAATATTCACCCACAGCATCGGATAACATAATGCAACTGTTCTTAGCAAATCTTCTCAAGGTCTACAGACATCGACTAACTCAAAGAGCACGCTGCACCCTTCATCCCCGCATTGAGTCTCGTATCGAGCACTCGAAAGCGTTCCTGAAAGAGCGCCCTGCATAATGACGAACACAGAGTTTCATTAAAAAGAAATTACCCATCTCTGCGGGAGATTTCTTTAAGATTAATTTAGTTAAGATTGCCAATGAGGACTTGCGTAGATGCCTTTACAACACCGAAAGCTGCGCGGCACTGTATTTACAAAAAAGGGGATTCGCACACACACACACGTGGTTATATTTTTGGTGTGAGTGTCAAACACAGTTCACTTATGTCACTATGCTAATTGTTTGACTTGTTTTCATTCTCCCAGTGTCGGCTAATGTTTTTTTGTTTATGTAGCTAAAAGCTCTCTCTGTGTAAGTGTTTTTTCTTCCTCCTTTTCCGTTCTCTCTCTATGCTTTTCCTCGAAACACACAAACACACGCGCACTCACACACATTCATTCACGCCCTCCCCTCACCCGGTCTCCCTTGCTCTCTATCTCTGTGTTTCAGGTGGTGCAGGTGTTGCGGGCGATTGATAGAGATGAGGGTGGGAATGACAGCACCGTGTATTTCAGCATCCCTCCAGAGTCCAGCGCTGCCCTCAACTTCAGCGTCAGGGACAGCGGTGGTAGGCACTCAATCTTTCCTTCTCTGTGTAGTGCTCTTGATTCTTGTTTGTCTGCTCCTCCCTTGGCAGATAGACTGTTTCTCCCCCCACTTTTCTAAGGCCCTTAATCCCACATATATATATTTTTCTGCCTTTCTCTTCCCATCTTCATCTTTCCTTCTATTCTCTCTCTTCCACGTTCCTCTCAAAACCACTCCCTCTCTGAGTCGCCTTCCCTTCTGTCCCTGCCTCTGTCTCCTACCATCCATCTCCCATGTCTGGTGGCCCCATTGTTTTGCTTTGTTATCCTCCCCTCTTTTGTTTCATCCCTCTTGTTGTATCCTCTTCATCCATCTTCTTCCCCACGACCATGTAAACTTAGTATTTCCACTGAGAAGCTTTTGAAGAAATCAAAGCTGCTTCGTTTAATCAGCGTCAACTGAATCTAATTTAGCTACTTGTTTGTTTTCTGTGCATTTTTCCCCCTGAACACTTGTCGTGTCCTCGCTCTTTGTTTTGAACAGTTACACACGTATAGTCCTTTAATATCATACAAACATACATTTGATATGACTATTTTAATTCAGGGATGCAATGTGCTGCCGGTTCTGTGTAACTGTTCGCATCAAGCTGTGTATGTGTTATATTTTTGCATCCTTGAGCAAATATGTAGTCTCCTAAAATTGGATGCACAAGAATGTTGTTGTCTTAGCTCACATTTACATTTCTCTACACAAAAACAAGTTAATTGGCTCACAAATACATTTTTTTGCAATTATGTGTCACCTGTGGAGTTTTCGTGTAAACACATACTTTGAGTCAGTGCAAAAACACAGTGTTTGCTTCCTTGAGGCCTTAACGGCGTGCTGAAAAGATAAAACATTTGCAAAAGTGACATTTTTCAATATTTTGAAGAGTGCAGGCCTGATTACATCAGCTGGCATTCTTTTTTCTTTTCACGTCTTTGCTTCTGCATTGCTACATTCTTTTCCTTTGACACAATAACTGTTGTGGAACAGCATGAAATCGGCGAAGCTCTTCAGTTGGTATGTGCTGCACAGTAGCAGTTGAGGACAGTAATGCAAATCAAAACATTGCACCACTAGCGGATAAAAACTCCACAGAATACTTTCATGTGTGCTTATGCATTCTGCACACAGCTCATCTCTCTCCACTTGAAAGTTTGATTTGTGCGTCATATTAGCTAAAGATGTCCGTAGCATATTGAAGTGTATAATATAGTATTCCATGTGCAGGCCTTGGACACTTGAACAGGTGTACTAGTTGTAGGTATACCTGTTCAAGTGCTCATTAACACACATGTATTCTGATCAACCACTCACATGACATTCAGTGTTGACATGAAATTCAAACCGAGTGTCAAAATGGGGAAAAAAGGTGATTTAAGTAACTTTGAATGCGGCAGAGAATTCTGATGTACTGAAATAATACAACAAAATCTGAATCCCCCCACCTGAAAAAGAGAAAATAGTGACGGGTTGCTTTGTTGAGGCCTTAGAAGAAAGACCAGACTCCTTCAAGATGATTGGAAAGCAACAGTAACTCCCAAGCACTGTTAAAACCAAGATATGCAGAAGAGCGTCTCTGAATGCACAACACGGTCAGCCTTGAAGCAGATGGGCTACCAGACCAACCCAGGTGCCTCTCCTGTCAGCTAAGAACAAGAAACTGAGACTACAGCTTTCACAGACTCTACAAAATTGGGCAATAAAAGATTACAAATAAAACTTTGCTTAGATGAGTGATGAGTCTCAAGGTCTGCTGCAAAATCCAGGTAGTCGGGTAAAATTTTGGCATAAACAACATGAAAGTCACCAGATCTAAATCAAAAAGAGCACTTCTGGGATGTGATGGAACAGGAGATTCACATCATGGGTGCAGCTGACAAATGTGCAGCAGCTGTTTACTGCTGTCATTTCAATATGGAACAAAATCTCGGTGGAAATGTTTCCAGCACCTCGTTGAATCTATGCCA